CAGAAATTGAACTGAGGACCATGTACTTGCCCGGCAGGCGCTGGTGCCGCCCAGCTTCATCCGCAGCCCCAGGGTGGGCCGCAGAGAACGGAGCTCTTACTCTCAGCCTACGCAGCCAGCCCGGGACGCCGCCCTGAGCTGCGTAAGCAGCCCGGAAGCCACATGCTGTCTTTAGTAACCATCACGAGGCCAAAGTCACTTCTGTAACCGTCAGCCCCAAGTGGCCGAGATTCAGCAAAGAACTGACAGCGCCTCTTTCTCCTGCTTCCAACCTGGGACCAGCCAGAGAGCCTCAGCAGCCCGCGGCACACAGGCTTCCGTCGCTGCCGCAGCTTCCCAGCGACGCGGCAGCCTCCTGCAGCCGCGTCCTCCTCCACCCTGCAGCGTCCCTCCTCCGCTGCCCGGAGTCTGTGTCCTGCGTGGCATCTGCGGGGCCAGCGCCCCCACGCGGGCCTGGGGCTGCCCGCCCAGCCCTTCTGTCTTGGTTGCCTTCACTTGTTCTGCAGAGGAATCTTTCGATGCCTCTGGGTGAAACTGGACACCTTTCCTCCTCTCAGGGTAGCAAGCAGTAGAGGCTTCTAAAAGCCCAGTAATTTTCAGCCAGGCTGCGCACTCCTGTAATCCCAGCATTTGAGAGGCTGAGGCTGGAGGATCACTCCAAGTTCGAGGTCACCTTTGGCTACATAGTGAGTTCAAGGCCAGCCTGAACTGCAGAGCAGAGACCCTAAAGGACAGTAATTTTCATTGCATTTTCCTTAATAGTTGTTCAGTACTTCCTGGTTCTGTGTTTGCAAAAGAAATGTAAGGAGGCTGAGCTGGTTAATTAAAGCTCTTGACGCACCTATAGAGATTATCAGGTTAAGCCCCAAGTACATGACACTGGGTCCAAGAGCCCATCCCTCACTTTTCAACTGTAAATTTGTACTTCAGTGTAGTAGTAATAGTAGCCAGCTGTGTATCTCAGGACCTTGCCCTGAGGGATGCAGGAAGCAATCTCTGTGTTTACACACTTGGTATGATGAACAGCAGCACGGTGCGTGCAAAAGTGGGAAAATGGGATTTATACTCACCCTGTGCTCCCTGTCACTTTGTTGTGTGTATGCTTACCTGAGCATCATACAGGGTCCAGCAGATCCACACCACTCCAGGCTTTGTTAAGTAAAAGTTTTCTTTTGATTTTTCTGGTAGAGGTACCCCAGTTCAGTACAATGGCACATAAAAAACCAGATTTGCAGGTTTGGAGGAGGTCAGAAGGGAATCATCAGATTCCTCATGCATGGATGATGAAATGATCCACTGTGGTAAAATACACGGTCTCATAGCAGAACGGTGGTGCGGGTGGCAGATGATGGTGATGACGGACATCAGCCATGAGAGCCAAAGTTCCTCTGACCGTGAGATGGGGCAGGAATCAACTGATACACACACAGGGAACGCAGACCTCCTTGACTAGGATGACGAAGAGAATAGCAATGTGAGTACGTATCTGACGAGTTGAAATGTTGCAAAGTGGCCAGGCAACCAAATGGAATGATGATCTATTGTTAGGACGAGGTCCAAAAATATAGTGAAGGTGTTGGCAGGGATGAAATGTGTTGGGCAGAATACCAGCACTGCCATTCTGTGTTGGAAGTTGTACACGGATGAAATGCTACAAGATGCTGTGGAATACACAAAGGCTGAAATGGAAGTACAGTGTTCCGTACGCACCAGTAGCCGTATTAAAATATTTATTTATTATGACACCTCACTAGCTGGACTGAAAGCATTCATAGGCCTGCTGTACATAGCAGGGATTTCCTATGGTGATTGCAGGAATGTAAAAGCCTTGAAAAGTGATGGGTCAAAAGATGGCATAAAATTTATGCCCTTGTCGATACGAAGACTTACTATGCTTTCGGTTTAGACATTTATCCTGGAACTCAGCCATCAGGTCTCTTTTCATAAAGTAATAAATCAAATGGTGTTGTGAACAGACTTGCTCCCGTCTCTCAACGAAATTAGAATTTGACATTCACCAATTGGTTTGCCGGTTTCCAGTTGGTGTTACATTTGCTAACAGAGCACAAGTTGACCAGCGCAGAAAATGTACACAGGAACAAAGCTGAATTCCAAATGAAATGTTGCAATTTCAAAACAGAGAATTGTATAGTACAGTCTTTGCATTTCAGGAAGCTATACGACTGGCCCCGTCTATGGCAAAGAAAAACAAACTAGTACTGCTGATGTCAGCATTGCACCATGATGGAAATATTGACAGGGAAACCACAACAAAACAGAAGCCTGAGATGGAAATTTTCAACAGCAAAACCGAAGGTGGAGAGAGGTTGTTGAGCTATGCAGCAACTGTGATGTCACTTGAAACTCAAAGCACTGCCCAGTGGTTGTGCTTTACTTGATCTTAAACATGTGGCGTAAATAATTTGATAATTTACAAAGAAAATAACAAGTGCGGAATATTATGGAGAAATTTTCTTAGAGGATTGGGACTGGACCTCATAAGAGATCATTTACATCGGAGGAAAAGCGAAATGTTTCTGCCCAGGGAACTATGCAAAAAAACTGGAAGCACGCTGGTGAGCTGACAGGTGAGCAGGCAGCGCAGCATCACAAAGACCTATTATGACCACAAGAAAACAAAGAAGATGTCATCTGTGCCCTACAAGCAAGTACAGGAAAACGAAACATACGCGCTAGCAGTGTAAGCTCTACTTGTGTACGGAACATGCAGTTGTCATGTGTGAAGACTGCCTTGGGTGTTACACTTGAAGCAAAACTTATTTCTACCAAAGTGGTAGACTTTTGTTTGTATTTACACTGTACTTCACATAAGATTTTTGTTCTGTTTCCTTTTTGAGACAGGGTCTTGCTATGTAGTTTAGGCTGGCCTTGAACTCACTTTGTTGCCCAGGCTGGCCTCAAACTCGTGGTGATCTTCCTGCCTCAGCCTCCCGAGTGCTGGGATTACACTTATCACAGGACCAAAAGTTTAATCCATTTTTGAACTAATTTGAGACTGTTAGCTTATAAGCAGAATCATTATGAACTTGAATATTATATCTTAAAGAAAAAGTGAGCCAGGCATGGTGGCTCACGCCTGTAATCCCAGCATTTGGGAGGCTGAGGCAGGAGGATTGCTGCAAGTTCGAGGCCAGCCTGGGCTGCAAAGTGAGCTCAAGACCAGCTTGAACTGTGTAGCGAAACGCTGTCTCAAAAAAGGATGAAAAGAAAAGAAAAAGTAATAGCACGTGATCTCTGTGTTGGGTTTCTGAAAATTACCAGTATCCCTCTACATACTGCTACAGCAGTTAGAATACTAGAAAGAAATTATATTCATAAAAAATGTAAATTTAGTCACAGTATACATTGTATATGTTCTTGCCATCTAAACTTACTAACTGCTGGGATATAGCTCAGTGGCATAAGTGCCTGCCTGGCAAGTGCAAGGTCCTGAGTTCAATTCCTGGTACCAAAAATAAATAAACTTACTAACTCACAGTACTGATTTATCTTTTCCTACTCAGAACTAAACACTAACATTTAACACATCTACATATGATTATAAAACTTAGGTGTGAAAATTTTACTTTTAACAGTAATATTCAGACAAACTTTTGATAAGTTGGGGGTTCTTTGTTCTTTACATAAATAGTATTGCAGCAACAAAAAAAATTCTTTGAAGCCTTTCTCCACAACCCTGAGCTATGGATTCTGTGATGATATAATGGATTTAAGTTATGAAGCCTCAAAACGCCACAGCTAGGTTAGTATGATGTTGGATTGTTTAGATTTGAATTCATCTGTAAAGCTCAAGGCATAAATGTGAAATACTGAATACAAGCCTGAAAAGGTGAGCCGTGAATCTTCATTTCTAGCATAAGTCTAACTTTCTATATTGGGTCCATATGCTGTATTTAGATGCTGTTGAAAATGGCAACATCGCCTGGTGTGGTGGCGCACGCCTGTAATCCCAGCACTCAGGAGGCTGAGGCAGGAGGATCGTTGCGAGTTCGAGGCCAGCCTGGGCTACAAAGTAAGCTCAAGGCCAGCCTAAACTGTATAGCGAGATCTTGTCTCAAAAAGACAAAAAGAAAATAACAACCTACTTACTTCAAGTGTTAAATTTAGATTATGGTGTTTCCATCAAAACTAGCATTTCACAAACAAAAAACAAACAAAGCCAGCATTCCACACATCACTTTTTAAAGGCATAATAAAGGTTAGAGTCAAGATGTAATGGCTTCTCGACGCCCATAATGCAAATAATAGATAATTCAGAGGTGAGAATTTTATTGCTACGTGGGAATTAAATTTAAATTTAAAGACATTTCGTACTAAGCCTAAATACAGACCTCTTAGCTGCATTGATTGTCCTAGTCTTACTATGGGCTGTTTCTATAAAACTGACATTGCTTCTAGTTTGGGTTTTTTTTTTTTAAGGACTCGAATATACGTTCACAAATTTCTATACTGTGTCTTAAGAAAAGTAAGTAGGCACCTCCATAATTAGGAATTCTCCGTGTGAGCCAGTGACTGTGAGGAGAGGAGCACAGGTTACGAGCGTGGTAAGCAGTGACTGGTGCAGTCTGCAGCCTCAGGCTGTCCAGGGTGACGTCACCAATTTGGACGTCATGTTACAGATGAACAAGCCTGGAAGCCTACACGAGAGAGCCACAGTATATTCTACCGTTAACTTTTTATACACTGTGTTTTGTGGATAACTTCAGTTTTACCAAGGCAGACGTATTTCAGTATTTTGAAAGCATCAGTGTTAATTTTGAGTTGGCAGAGGTAACCTAGCCAACTCCCATTATGTTTGGTACTAAGAGATACACCGTTCAATAAAATTATTATTATTATTGTTATTTTGGTTTTTTTCTGGTACCGGGAATGGAACTCACGACCTCGCGCTTGCCAGGCAGGCGCTGTGCCGCGGAGCTAAATCCCCAGCCCTCAATAAAATTGACAGGTTAAAAAAAAAAGACGAATTCCCTGAAAACTTGTAGATAGGCTTTTTATTAGCTGCATCGACTCTCCTAGGGAAGTTGCTAACTAATGCTGGTGTTTACCGTAAGGGAAAGCGCCAGGGCTGGGGGTTTAACTCAGCGCGCAGCGCCTGCCTGGCAAGCATGAGGTCCTGAATTCGATTCCCTGTATGGGGAAAAAGAGAGTGTCAGTGCCCGGGAGGACGGGCCGGGGCCGCCGAGGGCCCTGGCGCGGCTCTGGCCCGGGGAAGACACCAGGACTTGCTCCCTGGGTGCGGGGCGCTGCCCACGACTCGGCCTTAAAGGCTCAGCAAGGACCCAGCTGAGCACCGGGGGCTGGGCGGGCGATGGGACCCCAGCGGCTCAGGCGCCTTCTCCCTCCCCCGGGGCCCCCAGGGTGTGCCTGCGGCCCAGCCACCTACCCTGTGTGTGTCCTGTTCCAGGCTGCCGAGCGAGCGCCGCACCTGCCAGCCCGAGGAGCGGGAGCCCCGGCCGCCGCCGCCATGGACGCCCAGGTGAGCCTGTGTTCTGCGGGAGGCGTGGGGGCTTGTTGCTCAGCGCCACGTGTGCTGCTCTGCAGCGCGGAGCCTCGGGCGTACACGGGCCGCAGGCGCTGAGTCCCCGCGAGTGCCGCGGCCCAGCACAGGGTGTGGACTCCCCTCCGGGGGATGGCGGGGAAGCGCGGGTCATGCGAGCAGCCGAGGATGCCGGCCACTGTCCCTCGCCACCTGCTGCCCCTGTCTCCAGGCCCTCGCTCTTGAGGGGCCTCAGGAGCCCCACGGCCACGTCCTCCTCGAGGAGCAGCTGGGTCAGTGCCCGGGGACGGCCTCCGTCTCCCGTGTCCAGCCTCGCTGTGGGGTGGTGAGCACGAAGCCTCCCGCCCACTGTCCTGGTGGGAAAGCGGATCCCAGAGCTAGGCGGCCGGCCCGGTCCCACAGAGCCGGCTTCTCTCTGCAGCGGGAGCAGCTCCCTCCGGCGTTCTTTCCCTGTCAGAACTGCCATGCTAAACTGGGCAAGGTGCCCACACCTGTAATCCCAGCACTTAGGAGGCCGAGGCAGGAGGATCATGAGTTCAGGACCAGCCTGGGCTACATAGCAAGACCCTGTCTCAGAACAAAAACAAAGGAATTGTCATCCCATTGTAGATATTTATGACTTTCTTGTATTTTTTTCTACAGTTTTAAAATTTTTTTGTAAAATACACATAAGAGTCACCGCTTAGAGCTGAGGGTACAGCTCAGGGTAGGGCACTTGCCTAGCATGTGTGAGACCCCAGGTTTCATACCCAGCACTGCCCCCTGAAAAAGACAGAAAAAACTAGAGAAGATTTATCATTCAACTATTTGTAAGTGCACAGTTCAAGGGCTCTAAATGCATGCCTGCTGTCACAGGCGTCAGCGCTTTGTCATCTGCCCCAGCTGAAACTGTCCCATTAAACCCTGACTCCTCACCCGGCTCCCCGCCGGGGCGGCACCACTCTGCGGCCTGTCCCCATGGATTTGCCCTGTTAGGAACGTGTAAGTCAGTATTTACTTTGTGACTGGCTTATTTCTCTCAGCATAATGTTCTCAAGAGTCATCCTTGATAGGGCCGGGCATGGTGGCGCACGCCTATAATCCCAGCACTTGGAGGCTGAGGCAGGAAGATCACTGTGAGTTCGAGGCCAGCCTGGGCTACAAACTGAGTTCAAGGCCAGCCTGAACTGCATAGTGAGACCTTGTCTCAAAAAGGCAAAAAAAAAAAAAGGTCCTATGAGAGTTTCTCGGTTTTTCTAGTATAAATTAGTAAAGACTTACAAGACAAAAAGCACCTCTGTCCTGCACATTCACCTTCCTGGCTTCCTGTTACGGCCCCATGTGAAGGTTTGGCATTTCCCCGGGCGGATCTCGGGAGCCCTGGCCTTCCAGGCCCTGTATTTCCTCTCTCCTCCTGGGGTTGGGGCTGATCCGGGCACCGGGAGCTGCCGGTGCTCCCAGGACTCACCTTTGTTGGAGGATCGTCCAGCTCCAAACATGGTCAGGGCGCCAGGAATGCTCCCGAGACTCCAAAGCCTCTGCCCTGCACTGAGCTGCGGCTGCAGGTGCCGCCCACGGAGAGGGAGAGGCAGGGGCAGGGGCAGGGGCAGGGCAGGCGCCCCCTGAGGCTCGCTGTGGGGTTTGCTTGAGGCACACCCTCCGGAAGTAGAGCCCGCCAGCCCAAAGGCAGGCACTCAGCTGTGGTCACCCTTCCCGGCACTTCGTGAGACTTCCGCTTGCCCAGCACCGTCCTGGCGTGTCAGGGAGGAGATGGTGGACAGGGAAGAGCCGCTGACCACTAGAAGCGCAGCCAGAAAGGGCGGGCTAGAGCTGACACGATCTTGGCAAAAAGCGCGAAAATGCAGGGACGGGGTCTGCCTGACGTCCCCGGACCAGCCCGTGACCTTCATCTGTGGACGCTCGCCCCGGCCACATGTTTTCGGGAGGTCAGGCAAATTGTCTCCTGCAGGATTGGAGCTCTGGATGGCGCTGCTTTACAGCAGTGCTGCCGTCCAGCCTCTGGCCACTGAGCCCTCTGAAGCTCTGGTATCACAGGCTTTTTTTTTTTTTTTGTCTTTTTGATACAGGGTCTCCCTATGCAGTTCAGGCTGGCTGGCCTCGAACTCACAAGGATCCTCCTGCCTCAGCCTCCCGAGTGCTGGGATTACAGGCGTGCACCACCACGCCTGGCTAGTATCACAGGCGTTTCCTGCTCGATTGGACCAGTGCGCTTCTTCAGGCCAGCTCAGCTGCGGGGAGGGCCGCTGTCGGCCCGGTTCCCACAGCCTCCCTGACCCCCTCTCCTCCTAGGTTGGCAACGGAGCGGGCCTCGGGGATGCGGATGCGCACGTCACAAACCTGCTGCTGTTCGGCTTCCTCCAAAGCCGCAACACCTGTAATTTCCACCAAGAGCTGAAGGCGCTGGGCCAGGAACTGCCTGTTGGGCCGGACGCAGACCACGAGGATGAGCTGCAGACGGACGGCAGCCGGGCCAGCCGCCAGTACCGGGGCAGGAGAGAGGCAGGTGGGCACCGAGCGCGGCGCTTCGCCCGGAGCTGGCCCGGCTGCCCGCGGTGGGTCTCAGAGCCCTGAGGCTCGGGGCGTCGGTGCCGACCGCCTCCCGGGGCGCCGCCGCGTTCCCTGCGGGTTTGGGCTGACTTGGGGAGCTGCTCCCTCCCGAGCCGCGGTGGCCCTGAGGCGTCGCCCGGATCGTGCCGCACAGGGCGGAGTGGCCACGTTCCTCAGTCGTCTGCACAACGAACGACTGTATCGTACACACGATACGTAGTTACGTATGTACGCGTCGTGTATGCCCATGTAACCCCAAGACCTAGCGAGCTTTCAGAGGTGGTGGCTGGCGGTCCCCGCGGGCGGCTGGTGAGTGGGCGCTGCTGGCGAGGTCTCCTGGGCCGGACACAGCCCGAGGCCAGCGCCCAGCCTTGAGGTCGCGGCCTTCGCGGTGATCCCTGCCTGGCGTGCAGAGCCGGGCTTTAGTGCTCAGCACGGCCCGACGTGTGCGTGCCCGGTGCGCCCCTCTGCGGCGGTGCGCGCCCCGTGAGCCCGCGGCCC